TTTGTTCATGCAGTTTATACCCCTTTGATAATTCCTCATAAACCCAGGTCTCTACTTTCGTATCATAGAGATTTTGTAGGCAAGATGTGGTAAACTTTAATTGGAAGGTGTCAGTCGTTTTATTTTCCAGTCATGTATCTGCTCAATTAATTTATTTAGCTTGATTGTGTATCTACATGTGCCTACTTTTTACTCAAAATATCGTGTATCCTACTCATGTTTAAGTAATAAATGGTTCAAAATAGCCTAAAAATAGTATAACATTTAATGTAGTCCACTGTACTCACATAACATCCAGTGATTTAGCCCTAGTGTATACAGCCAACGAGATTTCTCTTAAAGAGTCAGATTAAGATGATTTTCTTTAACAAAACATGTCAGATAGTCCACGCGGGGCTGCCATCTTGAAAAGCATCGATCTGATCCAGTACTGATATACAGCCTGGACCAGTGCTGATGAACAGACATTACTGTATCAGCTATGACTACATCGGAACTGAAATAGATACTGGTCCAGGCCAGAGCAACAGGCTCGATTCAGCAGTGATGGCCGTCGATGCTGGACCGTTATAGAATCAAACCTGGTCCAGGCCTGATACCCATCATTCACGGATCATGCATGGTAACTCTTGGGTGTGTAGAGATGGTCTCATTAATAAGTCCAATTATTTTCATTTTCGTTTGCAACTTGATGTGTTCTTTTGTTACAGTCTACTTCTCCTTGTCTTATGTCATATTGATATTTCAATCATCATGAAATTTGGATGCAGTCTGGAGTGGGTCTGGAGTTACTTTTTGTCTTTGTAGCTGCAATTCAATTCAATGCATTGGATTCATTATCACGTAATCAACCATGACCTACATGACTAGAGTACCTGAAAACTTAGCACAGGCAAATACAGCAGCATGCCTAGTCTATTAGTGTATAAGTGTAGTAGTATCTTTCATCATTAAAATTATTTAAATGACTGAAAATTAATTTTTACTAGTTTTTAGTTAGCACCATAATATCAGTATTGATTCTTGATGCATGACATTGCTAGATCTAGTCTAATTTAATCAATAATGAGAATTATAGCTTTCCTCTCTTTTATAATTAAGATATATTTTAGCAGTATAATATGTGACCATAATTGACAAAAGGTACCTTATGGCGGGTAGTGAAATTTGTCTTTCTAGCCTAAGAAATCCAACTTCCTGAGCCCCAGTTATCATAAAATTACTCCACAGGATGCAAAAAGTTACCATGAAACTTTTAGAAACAATGATTGTCTATCAAAGCACTCACAGGTTGATATTTTCCATTATAACTATCAATTTTAAAATCCGCCATAAGGGCCCTTTTGTCAATTATGGTCACATATTATTACAAACACCTCACACCCTTTTTTCCATACATAAGCAATACAGGAGGAAAACCACCAGAAAGGTGCATCTTTACACTAATTTGCAGCATTTCATCCATAATCTGTGAGACGATAGATCTTTAACATATTGCATTACTTTATTGTTGCTTCTCTCTCTCTCTCTCTCTCTCTCTCTTGTTATGTACTGAATTATATAAACTTACATGTACATATCCACATAATGAGTACTTCACCCTAAAAGTAATACTAATGCACCCCAAAACATGCAACAGTATCACCTAGCAATAACCCTCATAAGCTCAATAAATAATTTATAATGATTTAATTCAATGAATAAATAAGTGACCACATGGGGAGAAAATGGTAGCCCAAACTAGTGTAAGCATAGTCAGGCGTGGCCTGACCCTTGCGAAAACGGAGGGTCAGGAACCTCGTGTATACCAGTCTTGTTTTCAACTACTATGGCTTCGGGTGGAGCTGCAACTGCTGTAGCAGCCTATGTCATCATAATGAATAATAATTAATACCTAATCATTTTGTTTGATAATAAAAACAAAAACAATTATAATTAAAAATAAAGAAGCAATGACGACTTGTAAGACTGTCAGCTGTAGAAGCAACATCACTTCCCAGGCTAATAATG